GGTAACCTTTTCCTATAAACATTTCATTCTTACTTATTACAACCTTATCAGATACAAAGACACTCTTAAAACCATTCTTAATAAGAAGTCCAGCAGAGACTAAGTTCTTTCTAATCTCGGGAACATGAAGGACGTTGTTCAAGGTCACCACCTTACCAAAAGTCATTTTCATAAATATCTTTCCAGATCCTTCAATTTTTGCCGTTGCAGAATTTCCCATAGAAAGCGTCTCTTCGGGTCCAACAAGAACATATGTAGCAAATGCTTCTCTAACAACACAAACATGGCGAGTGGCTCCAGAATCAATCCACCACTCCTTAGGATTTCCTATCAGGTTGCATTCAGAAAGCATAGCACACAAGTCATCGATATCTTCGTGCTTTTCAATCATGTTTGCTTGACCCTTCTTCTTGTCTTTCTTTGGAGCACGACAATCTGCAGATCTGTGTCTAGCTTTTCCATAGTTGTAGCAATTTCCGTTGAACCGCTTCTTGCTTGGGTTGCTTTTCGGTCCATAAGCCTTCTTCCTCTTTCTATCCTCAACAATGTTTGCTCCTATTATTGTTGAGTTTCCACGTCCTTTCTTTTCAGCAGCTTTATTGTCCTCTTCGATTCTCAACCGAACAATGAGATCTTCAAGGGACATCTCCTTTCGTTTGTGTTTCAAGTAGTTTTTGAAGTCCTTCCAGAAAGGAGGCAACTTTTCAATCATTGCTGCAACTTGGAACGCTTCATTGATGACAAGACCTTCAGTGAAAATTCTGTTATTAGAAACAATATAATTAATACTTTCAACATTAGTATTAATTTGACTTATACCTTCAGCAAGGAGATCGTGAATAATCACTTGCAATTCTTAGACTTGGGTAATAACAGACTTGTTATCTACCATTTTATAGTCTAAAAATTTAGCGGCAACGAATTTCTTTAACCCGGCATCTTTCGTTTTATATTTCCTTTCAAGCGCTATCCACAGTTGTTTTGACGTCTCCATATTACTATAGACATTATACAGATTGTCCTCTAGTCCACTAAGAATGTAATTCTTGCATAGAAAATCAGAATGCTTCCACGACTCAGTCACGAGAAAGCGTTCATTTTTTGGAGTTTTGTCGAGCAGAACAGGAACATTTTCCATAATGAACTTTTGCAGACTTAAAGTCGTTAAGTAGAAGAACATCTTTTGCTGCCAGCGCTTGAAGTCAATCCCGAAAAATTTTTCGGGTTTTTCTGCCGGTGCTAGTGCCGGTGGTGTTCGGCTTGTCGATGCGTTGGCAGTTACCATAGGAACAGTCTGGTTCCCGTTGTCATTCGTCATTTCTGTAAAAGAATGACACAAACAAACGTTAAAATCACGTAGATTTTAATCTCTACTGGAGTAGAAAACCACACAGGTTTTAGTCTCCAGAAACAGTGAATATAACACAAATACAGAAAATATTAAATTCCTTAAGTTTGTTGTTTATCTATATTTATAAAATAATTATGGAGAAGATAAAATAACATAAATGTAAATAAAACAGAATTTAATTCGAGCCCACTGAATTCACAGTGTTTCCTTAAGGAATTTAATCACCTCCTAGTACCCAAGGTTGTGGATTATTTTCTTTCAGGATAGAACGAATTACACACTGGTGTAGCGATACTTCAAACACCAATGTTTCAGCGAACACAAAATTGGTAGCAAATCACACTTACTGATACTTTGTTTGTAGTTAAAACAATGCAGAAGAAAGGAGGAGAAGTCAGAAATTCGTATGGAAAATCTGAGAGAATGGACTGGTATTTATAGCCAATGTTGAGCTCAATCTGAAGAGGTGCAACTCTTCAAATCCGAAGAGGTGCCAACTGTTTCTTCAAATCTGAAGAGGTGCAAACTGTTCTTCAACTCTTCAGATTTGAAGAGGTACAAATTGTTCTTCTGAAGAGGTGCAAACTGTTTTGTAAATGTCTTTTATAAAAAATGAAGGGCATATACTATTACGTTTGGATTTAATATTAATATTCCGTTTACAAAAAATAGGATATTTAATAACAATTCTGTTAATATTTACTATTAACAAATAAATTTGGTCCAAAAAATTAATCAATCAATCGATCATTTGACCGAATCCGAATCCGAGGCCGAGGCCGAAAAATTAATCAATCAATCGATCATCCGAATCCGAGGCCGAGCCGAGCGACGACGACGGCGCGAGGCTTGCCTTCTTCTTAACTCTTTAAGAGCTAGAAGAAGTGCAATTGTATATATACCCATCAAAATCTCTTCCTCTTTCAATATGGGATAATATCCCTTTGTCAAGGAGGGAAACTCAAATATTTTTAATTTCCCTCCATTTCCCATTCACCCTCTTTTAAGCTACATTTATGCTTAAAAAACCCAACATGCATATTGTTACCAAAAAATATATTGTATTTGCTAATGCAGGCACTGTTGTGTTTCGTAAGTAGGCAGTGCCTATTTGGTCTTCCATCATTTATTGTGCCAAAAAGGGTGGTGGTTGATGGAGAACATGAGTCCGCTCAAACAAGTTTTGTGTGGCTCCATATCGCGCGAGTGCACCTGCAACACGGTTCTGCTCCTTGTATGTATGGATTATATATAGGTCACCAGTTGACGCAACAAGTACCTATATTACAGGAGCAATGATGAGCAAGTATGGTGGTGCAACATAGATATTACCTCAGTTGAATCCACGTTGATTTCTAATGGTATGAATTGATGATGCCATGCTATGTTTTTAGAGTCAATCAATCATCCGTTCATTAATTTTAGCAAATTGGAATGGAAAAAAGTATAAAGGTGTGAAACTTTTACTTCATGAATTGGAGAGGAAATAGTCCTTTATACACACTTACAAATTGAATAAAACAAAACGATTCAATAAAAGTTCCATGCATTTTATATATGGTAGAGTAAATTTATAAAGTAGGTATATAAAATAAAATAATTATTTTAATTTGTATATGGGGTTAATTGGTGTTTCCACATTTTTCAAGGGAAATCTACGTAATATGCCCACTGAAAATGAGTATATTATAAAACTTTTCCTTCTTTTTAAGGTTAAGATTCTGCTATTTTTTTAAAATCTTTTTCGTTGTCTGGTGCAATTTTTGGTATTGCTTTTCTTTTTCTTTTGGGGGGGNAACTTTTATAGTATTTCTAATTAAATCCTTTTTGGTATTGGTCTACCGTCATTCCTTTTGATGTGTCAAAGCTGCTGAACAACGATCCATCGTTAGGTACAATGCTTCTATCTGCTACTCTTCACTAATGAAGAATTGGGGAATAGCATCTCTTCTTACCTTTTCACTCGATTTCAGTTTTCTGAAGCTTTACAACTACCGCCACGACCTACCTACGTCATTGTCCGGTTTCCTTTTCCCGTAGACCAACTCAATGGCAGCAGCAGAGATCTAATAGATGACGACACTTTCCCTGTTTGCTATGAAGAATTTAAGGACAAGAATGAGTGTTAACAACTTATTGTTTGCACGATTTTCATACTGAGTGCCTCCTGATATGGCTACTAAGGAACAGCACATGCCCAGTTTGTCGAGCAATCTATCCTTTTGCATTATTCGCCCGTTTTGAAACGGAAACGTCAACGTGAGCACAACATATTGGAGGATAATTGTAAACATCATAAGCACAACATAGTGGAGGCCAGCTTTTAAAAATTGTAAATGTTAACTTGTTTGATTCGGCACATATGTAATTACTGAATTGAACATCCTGTAGTCATCTTTAATGTATACCAATTGCTCTATGTGGGAAATGGAAACATGTTGATCCGATGAGAATAAATAATTGAAACTAGCAAAAATATTAGTTACTTTTCAGTTACATTAATGTAAAAAGAACACGAGATTGCACTTAATATTTTTTCAGCATTGCAGCTCTATCAAGCAGGATATAAATTATCACAAATCAAACAATAATGCCCTTCAACGCGTATCAGGTCTGCTAGGCTATTGGACTTAAAAAAATTTGGTTGCCCATTAATATTTCAGGCCACGCCCTTTTGCCTCTCTAGCTTTGTAAAATTAAGCAGGATAGGAGAGAGGAAAAGCCATTCAAGCTAATGTACATTTACTTGTTGTTTCTTGCAGGCCGAAATCTTTCAAGTTAAATAGAAGATTTTGTGAAGATCAAGACGAGATCTCTTTGCTTCAGTTTGTAAACAATTGACTCCCAAGAGTAACTATTGAAGTACCTTCTCCCATAACAGTTGTGTGCATCTGCTCCTTCTCAAGAATCCTTTCAAGATCCAACACGACTGTTTCCATCGTTGGCCTATATCGACCAGGAAAACTCATGCATCTCAATGCTAACTTGATCAAATCCCTCATTACCTCCGCCGTGAAGCTTCCCAGCAGCCTATGATCCACTAATTGGTCTGAACTCAGCTGTTTCTCAACCTTTTGCCGAGTTCAAATAATCATTCAGTGTAAGGATGATATATGATACAGTCTATTAACAGGTAGAAAAATTGAAATTTTGGTTCTTTACCCATTCAAGTATACTTTGGTTTGATCCAAATTCATCTATATGTGAAGCCTCCTTTCCAGTTATGAGCTCTAACAGGAATACTCCAAAGCTGTAAACATCACTTGTCTCACAGAGAATTCCAATTTGGTTTATCCTAAGCATGGAACAGAAAACGAATCAAAAAAGTGCTTAAAAGTCAAGTTTTTTTACTCTGGAACTTCAGATGGCAAATTGCTATTTACTCTGGATCTCTAAAAGCATTGACAGAACTCAGGCCAGAAGGACCTGCATCATCAATTTTCTCGAGTAGCTTCAGAATCCCCGCGTCTGCAACTTTAGCAATGAAGTCCTCATCAACCAAAACATTAGCTGTTTTAAAGTTCCCGTGGATTATTGAAGGGCGTTGGCCATGTAAATGACTTAAACCTGTTACAGTCAATAACAATTTTAGAGCCATCTTTGTTTCTGTTTCTCATTCTTGATTTAATCAGAACTTTTATCTCGAACGAGTTTATTGATATACCTTTGGCTGTTCCAATAGCAATAGATAACCTTTGCTTGAATTCTAGCTTTGTTGCAGAGTCCTTTCCTGTATCTAACAAGAGAACTAATCAGCTTTGATATATAATGAGTAATATAATCAAAGGCTCTTTACTCAATAGAGCCATACCATACAAGTGATTGCACATGCTTCCATTTGGAAAATACTCAAAAACCAGCATTGAGTATCCACTGTCTTGGCAGTAGCCTAAAAGATTAACCAGGTTGCGGTGTTGAATCGTTGATAAATAAGCCACCTATTATTGGAAATGCAAAGTTTAGTGATTAACACTTGGATATATAATTGAATTTGATTGTTTCAAGATTGCTTCAACTCTTGTATTGAATTGATATTAAGCTTGTTTCTTGAAGTTCTAGTCTCTACTTCTCTTTTTTGTTAAAATAGGAAATATGAAGTGAAAATATGAGAAGGATAGTACATTATCCATTTCTTGTTATCACTCCCTTCTCTATATGTTCAATTAAACAATCAGCCCCTTCAATATCTAGACATACCTCTTCATTAAACTCCTGTTTAGGATTCCCCGAACGCCTTTTTATAGCCACCACAGTTCCATCACAAAGCAATCCTTTGAAAACTAGACCAAAACTCCCACAACCAATGAGATTGCCCTCATCAAAATTTCTTGTGGCTTTCTCCAACTCTTCCATTCTGAACTGCTTAAAAGATGGGCTTGGTCCTCCCCTTTTCAGCTCCATTGTAACTATTTTGGTCAGTACATTTAGCAGAAAGTAGAGTTAGCAGGGCAAATTTTTAGTGCATCTCCATTGCTATAGTAAACTAATGATGATTTTTTTCTACATTACCTACTGCAGATGGATCTGAAGAAGCACTGTCTGAATTCTTATTTGAATTCTTCCTGTTGCGAAACGCGCAAAAGCATAAAAAGAAAATTACTCCCAAGAGGACAACTGCCCCTCCAATTCCTCCTCCTATAGCTGCAAATGAACTTGCCATCCAAGAAAATCATCCAACTTATTTGAACATTAATTGACACTTGTGTTGATATGTATCAATGAAGAAACTTTCAAGTCAAAACTACTGCTGAAAAAGCTGAATTTTTTTTCATAAAGATGAATATAAAGGTACCAAATTAAACTCCATTATGAAAAATCAGATGAAAGTGGTGGTCCTCTTGATTGGAAACTTATGTACTAGAAAAGTAATTGCTGAGGAAGGACATGACAAAATTTTTGAGAAATGTCAATTAATTGATTTCAAGAATCCATTTGGGAAACAGAAACTATGGTAAGGAAGCAATGCTGCCAATTTCCTTTGTATTCAGACAATTCATTGGCTAATTTCTTATAGTACCCCACTTTCTTGTCCATGCATTTACACATACAAATATGTCATTCAAGAAAAGAAGCTCCACCACAGTTGAAGAACCCCTTCTTTTTATAACCAACAAAGAATCTCTTGTTTTTTTCTTTAACTTTTTTCCTTGGCCTGCTGCTATGTAAATATAAGAAAAAGAGGACTTATTATTTATAGCTTTCCTCAGATTCTGCCCTCTCTTTACACCAATTCAGTTAAGATTACATACCTTGTCAGTTGTACAAGTACTTTTTGATTCCCTTGTGTAGAAAGATAATTGGCATAAAGGTGTCTAAGATTTCCCACACAGCAAGAATATCTTATAATAAGATAAAATCTTGAATGCGTTAAATTTGTCTCAGTGTGACCTGTAGATCAGGGTTCGAGTCGTGGAAGCAGCCACTAAGGGTGTATCTCTGTCTACATCACAAGGAGTACTGCCCTTCCGCGAATCATGCGTAAATATGGAATACTTTGTGCACCAGGTTGCCCTAAATATAAAATGGGAGTTTCAGACTGCAAGATAAGACTGCGTACTAGACCCTTGTGGTTCGGCCATTTTTCGAACCTCATGCATAGCAGGAGCTTAGTGCACCGTGTTGTCCTAAAAGATAAAATCTTTATAAGGGTGTTAGTTACAAACCTCAAATTTGACATGAAATTACCAATAAAAATGTGCTTTTAGTAAAGTCTTGGAACTTTTCAAAATAGGAAAAGAAGGAAGAAAAGGTTTCATCCAATCTGAGGTAGCTGTAACTGATAGTAAAAAAGTTTGTCTTTACTAGGTTAGGAACAGTAAGAAAAAACTAACTTTTACTGGACAGACAAAATAATTGAAAGGGAATCAAAAGAAAAGGTGAAAAAATCAATCCAAGTCTTTTCCTTGTATCCACACTATCAGCCTTTTTGCCTTCTTTTTCTTTGTATGACCTGGAAAGAAGAGAGTATCTGTTTATTAATTTTTGTTGGCAGAATGAGGCATCACATCATTACAGATCATGACAGCTGAGCAAATAAGACATTCCCCACACCCAAATCCATACACACAAATTGCTGCTGGAATTGCTTGTTGGCTTCTTTTATATTACACCTAAATAAATTTAGTGTTGCAGGGAACATACAACAACCAAAAAAAAAAAGTACTAGAATTTTACAAATAGGGTTTGGGGAGTATAGTGTATACGCAAGCCTTACTCCTATCCTTAGGGTTCGTTTGGTACGAAAGATAAGGGATAATTAATCTCGGGATTAAATTTGAGATAAGTTTATCACATGTTTGTTTAGAATAAAATTGTGGTATAACTAATTCCGAGATTAGTTATCCCGGGATTGTAGTATTTTTTTAATCCCCATGGGAGAATAGGATAACTAATCGCGGGATAATTAATTATGGGATCACTTGTTTCCCAACCAAACGACCCCTTGGAAGGTAGAGAGTCTGTTTTCGATAGACTTTTGACTCAAGAAAATTGTTCCATGGAACATAATGCACATTGAATTTAAGTTTTGTACAATGTTACGAAATATTTACACTATCAGTGTAATTTGACGACTCTAATACCAAGTCATGTCTAGTGAAATCACACATCCTTGATTTTCTGGTGACTTGATTGTTTATTGTTTTATATTAGACCTAAATCTAGTGTTCCGGGGAACATAATGCACATTAAATTTTAAGTTTTGTGCAACGTTACAGAATACTATAATTTGACTGACTCTAATACCAAGTCATGCTTAGTGAATACCAAGTCATGTTTACAGTATCAGTTTAAGTCGCCTCTATATTTACCTCTTGTTAAGTTGTTGGCATTTACCTTTTCTTTTTTCTTTTTTCTTTTTTTACCCCCAAAGGCTGGAGATTAGAAGGGTGTAGAGGTACTTGTATGGAAGATTCTTGAGCTGTAATATTCTCTGTCCATTTTTGTCTTGCTCTGTCTCATTTATAAGTTTTGTTATATTCTTATGAGTTTTTGTCTTTTATTTTAGGAGGAAGAGGGAGGGAGCTACAGTGTACAACACAAAGGGATTGGTAGACAGTAGACACAGTCTTGCTTGGTTGAAATCCTCCAACAATATCAAGCCCACAGGTGGGATGTAAACACAGTGAACAGGCGGAGTGAGGATTTGAAGTTCAAGAATTCGGATGCCACTAACTATTTGAGTTACTGAATTCGGAATTTAATATTTGTACATATATCGTATATATTTTATAACATATATTTGAGTTAAGATCCAAACAAAAAATTATTAAATTCAGCCGAACTCATATCTTATATGCTAGCTCTGTCCCTAAGTATGTCGACAGCATGTGCAATTATTCCCAAGTTTCATTAATTTGAGCAATTTGAATAAAAGAAAATGACGCAAAAACGAAAATAAATTTGGAGAGGGGTACAAAACCAATTGGCCCCAAAACTAGCCATAAAGAGGAGAAAAGTTAGAAGTCTCTAGTCAAGAAAGTAGCCTTAAAGAGGAGAGTAATGTTGGAAAATTGAAAATCTCAAAAGAGGGTGTTGCTATCAATTTGCTGTCAGTGTCTTTTGCAGCTAGTAGGGATATGTCTCTGGTTATACATATTGTTCTTCTCAGCCAATATGAGTTGTTTTAAAAGCTGAAGGTACTTTATAAATAAACCATAATGTATATGCAGTCGAATGTAATTGGTTACCAACTCTAGTGGTCCTAAGTCCCATTTATTACTTTAATATTTATCTTGGTTTTTCTCTGCCTCATTCAATCAACGAACTACACCTCAATCTTAAAGTTTTTATTATAAGAAATTATTTGAGAAAGAGAAGTGAAAAGGGCAAATCTGAAACTTCTATTTTGATGCACAAATGATAAAAATGAAGGAAATAAATTTGTTAGAAAGAAAACTACTCGACGAAGAAGATATGAAAAGAAGATCTAAAGATTTTAATTGGAGAATGAGGTAGAATGAAAATTTGCAAAAACAGAAGAAATTTATCAAATGAGACAAGAACTAGAATCAAACTCAACTAAGTACTCAGTGAAGCTTTTCTTAGTGTTTCCTTTCCTTCTCTTTTTCTGTTTCTGATAATAAGTCTTCCCATTGCTTCCTTGAACAACAAACTAGCATATCTCTTGCACACTTTGGTTTTTGACTTCAATCAGATTCAGAGAGATTAATCATAGTTACCTGAATTCTAGACTTTAGTTTCGAGCAGCAAATCAGTTTCACGTTGATAAAAATCAACAAGTTCATGAAAAGCAGAAAATACTTGGCCACAGCCCACATATATGCAGACAAAGTTTTGAACCAAAAGGCAGAGATGATACAAGAGAGCAGCTTTCCTGACATAGCTTTTCATTAATAGACTTCTAGTAAACATGCTCAATTTTTATGGGGTATGCCCACGGAACCAAGCAACATCCAAATATCTGTTTGCTACACAAGATTTCAAACTTACTTTTGGAGGTTTTTTCATCATCCAAGACAGACTACCTAATGACAGCATAGTTAGCCACTTCCCATTCACACAACTAAAGAAAAGCCAAATTCTCTACATAGAATAATCTATTCTGCAAACTAGGATCCGATGTTAGTGCAATTACAGATGATTCGCTCTTTGAATCTTTCATCCTTCTTCTTGGGGTTCTTCCTCTTCCTGGAGAAGATTTTCCCTGTTGTCATGGGCCCAGAAACCACGCACGTCTATTAGCATGCTTGCAACGGTGCCACCTTGTTTGCATGACAATAAATCAGCCAGTGTTATCCTCAAAGCATCAGCCGGCTTCACCATATCCCATATTTCATCCCTTACATCCTCGATGCAGAGTTCATAGTTCCCTCCTTCAATCCATTTTTGATGGACATCTCTGTTTTTTTTAATACAAATAACATTCCATATCAGAAATGGACCACTATAATGGAATACTCAGTGATACAAGAACAAATCTGATTGTAAGACATAAAATACTTGGCCCTATTTGGGATGATGTAAAATGATTTTTGGTGTTTCGTCGGACATAAAGTTGGTGCAATATAATATAATGGAGAGTGGAGGTGGGGAGTGTTTCCATTTACAGAAACATAATTTTCAGTTCTAGACAACCAAATACAAAGAATTTCATTAAGGAAAAACATTTTACATCATACCAAATAGGCCTTTATCTGGACACTGGAAGAAATTCAATAACTAGGTTGAGATTCTACACATAGATGGTCAACCTAAGACCGTCTAAACTTTCATGAGTTCTTGTCCTCTTATCCGCATCCTTTTTGGTGTACAGGGGAGTGGTAAATAGTAGTGGTAGCGTATAGAATCAAATAAACACTTCAGTCTATTGAGTGGCTGATAATTCAATGAGCTTATGTATCTGGTTATTTGAGACTTGCAGCACTATCTCAGGAACCACAAGTAGGAAATCCCAGAAACTCTTTTTAGGAAGATTGAATCGGGATACATCTCAAACTTAACTGTGATCCCTTCTTTCTCTTCCATATTTCATTTTTCCTTTTCTCAATTTGGAATAACAAATACGAAACAACTATGTACTACTGACTAGACAGGTGGAGAATTCCTCATAGCAAAAATACAACTACATGTTCCTTTTACCTGAATAGCGTGTGAATATCAGCTGTAGTTAGGAAACCCCTTCCATTGAGATCAAGACACCTGAACAAATATGTTAAACCCTCTGGAGCATCCTTGTTTTCCAGGGCTAGTACGAAGTCAAGAAAGCTTTCAAAATCCATTTCACGGGCATTGCCGCCTCCAATTTTTCCACGCCGAACGTGCTCGTCAAAAACTAGCAATTACACAAACCAAAAAAAGTTCACGATAAATACGAATTCAATCCTAGGACTATATAAAAGCTATAGGAGGTTTAAAAATAAAAGCACCCAGATGACTTCTGACTGTAAAAATGGGAAATGCACATTGGTATGAGATAAAACCTTATGAGATAACAAGAGAGTTTAGATGAAAGGGGGAAAGAGCTTTCTCTGGTAGTCCGCTGCATCAGGTTACAAGCAGCAAGACAAGGTGGAAAAGTAACATGATGTGGCTGAAGTTCGTTTGAAATGTTTGTGTTATTTCCTTGAGGAGAAGGCAGGATAACTTTAGGTCATGTAAATGGAAAACTTCAGGATAATCCATACCAAAAAGGGCGAAAATCCTTTAATATCCAGAAGATAAAGAGTGGTGTTGGGCTGTTCTCTGGAGCCTGGGCTGTAGATACTGTAAACATGACCTATGGAGGGAAAGATTGCAGCAATCAAGTGGGCAACTATACTGATGATGGAGGTAATGTTAGTGTTTAGATTACATATTAATCTTAGTGCCTATAGGATATATGAGAACATAATCAACTGCTTGACCAGTGCTAATCCTGTCTTGCAATATTGATAATAAATTGGAGAAATAGACTCAACATCCAGTGAGAAAACCCTTGATAGTGGTGCCAGATTGGAGTACCATGACAGCAGCAACTGGCAGGGATCTCCCTAGGTGAGACAGCTCACCCATCCTGGAGCCTATGCCCACTGCCCTTTGAAGATGGTGCCAGATTGGATTACCATGACAGTGGCAATTGGCAAGGAACTCCCTTGGTAAGACAGCTCACCCATCTTGGAGCCTATGTCCCATGGTGACCCCCAGTATCAAAAAGAAGAAACATGGCTGAATCCCTACCTAGTTTAGAATGGAGAGAAATCTCAAAGCATCAGATTCCTAGGTCTAGTGACAGGTAGGTGAACATGCAAAGTGTCTATCTCAGACAGCAAGGTTTCAATGTGAACTACGGGAGTGACTCCTATAGGATTTCAAGCAATAATTGCAGAAAGTGAAAGAAATAGTTAGGAAAAGAGACCACAGCTGCAGCAGACCACACAACTGAAACATCCCATAGATCCTCAAGAAAGATACATCAATGATACATAAGCAGACTCTCAGTTTTACCTCTTTCAATG